TACTTGAATAAATACGGTAATTTGTTTGTTTTGCTTTTTAAGATCCGATGGACATATCTGAGAGCTGATGGGAAATATTTAAGGAATGAATAAAACCAAAAGGAAGTTAAAATGGCGGCAGACATGACTGGAAACATAAAATCACAGCATTCTAGTACTGTATATTCCCTTCATAAAGCAAGGTGGAGGTTGTGTCAAGGTTTGGACCCGTTTTGGCTGCATTCACTTGGAACTGTGACATGTAACTTTAACCAGAAACTTTTAAAGATACAGAATGAATAAAATCATTTGTTTGAGAAGCAAACATAATTCTTCACAGGACAACCAAAAAAATGCAGTTGAAGAGTRGTAAAACTCACATTTTAAAACAATTTTATCAAAACCTTGATCTTAATCCAAGTAAATATTTTAGAAGGACCCAAAGCAAGTGGTCACTGATAGTAATTATTAATACTGAAATTCATATACTTCTGTTTAATGTAACACATGTAACTTAACACTCACGTACAGCTTTTTATTTTTAAGACTAATAATCCATTTTGGTCCTAAATTAGCAGTTGGCCAATCAGGATTATTGAAGTTTCTCCAGACCAAGGCTGTTTCAAGAATTTTTTATAAGACGTTAGATATTCCCTGTTCATTGTCTTTACATAGTAACACACTTCTAAATATCTCATCTGTTGTGTAGTGGTAGAGCAGCTGGCTTGGGACCAGAAAGTTCCAGGTTCAACTCCCTGCCATGCCCACATGTTGTGGTGTCCTTGAGCAAGACACCCAACCCCCAATTGTTCCCCGGACGCTCACATAGCTGCCYGCTGTTCCATTTGGGTGTTKCTCACATGTGATGGGTCAAATACAAAAYACAAATCTCRTCAKTGWATGSGAACATACACTGATGACAAATAAAGTAGCTTTGTCTTTTTAAACCACATGTAAATGTTAAAAYTGRCAYCTTTAAAAACCTAAACTTTGACTCCCATACCTGGAACTTCCCCTCCTCGTTTGGTCGAAGAGACTCCCATTCTGGAGAGTCAAGGAACTGGTGTCGGTGGATGTAATGCAGGAACTGACCCTCCAAAGACACACTGATCCTGAGAGATAAATAGTGAAAAGAAGAAACAGGGATTAATGTGATCATGAGAGTTCTATATCACTTTGAAGGCCAGGGGTGTGGGTCACTGGGTCTCTGTATGCTAATAATGCAGGTCTTCTCTAAAACTACTTTTTGCCAAATCTTTGCTTAGTTATAGAAAGTATCAGAGAAATTCTTAATATACCTTTGATGTAACCATATGACATTCTGGTATCTACAGAAAGAACAAAAATATTCACTACAAAAGGTAGAAATTATACGAAAACATCTCCAATTAAGCCAATAATGAGTTTTGCTATTGCTGTCTTTAGTCACTCTACATTTGTTGTTGTAATTATTTCCATCAATAATGTGTTTTCTTTGTCTCTCCTCCAGAGGAACACACACCTGAACCAGTTCTTTTGTTTGTCTGTGACTGTGTCTCAATTCATGGGCTGCATCCTCATGAGTTTGTAGGCTGCATAAAACTGCTGTGAAATGAGACGGTCTAACCTTCACTTGACGCATGTTTGTGTGACCACGTGCGACCCCTTTACCATAGTGACCGGTTTTATCATGTGCCTTCAGACTTAAAATGCATCTTTTTATTTGAAGAACTTTATGATTTAAAAGTTACACAAAAA